TTATGCTTTGACTTGGACTAAGAAGAGTTTGGTTGAGGTTGATAGTTTGATTAAATTGGGATGTTTAATGTTGAAGATTAGATTGAATTGGAATCTTAAGTTTGAAAATTTAATTCAAGTGGAATTTTGAGGTTAAAAGCTTGATTGAAGTAGAACCTTAAACCAGTGGACAAGATAGGCTAGAATAATTCTTAGTTAGAAGTAAAACCCTAACATTGAAATAAACCTAGACACTTTAAAGGGGCTAAAAGGGCGGACAAACCTAATTTTTTTGTATAAGACCTCCAATCAAGATGCTCATGATTTTTCATCATCTTTTTTGCAATTATATACTTAAAATATTAACCATCTAGACAGTTAGAGTTTTACACTATTATCAAAGTGATGGTGAATATAGATCTTTTTACTTTTAAGAGGTTCATTGTGCCTTTGTCAGTAACCATAGGCTACTTAATCCTAGGGCATCTAAATAGCCTTAAGGGGGTAAGGTTGTTTGTTTTATAGGTCCTAGTCCTTAGCACTAACTTGGGGTATGTTGTAATCTAACATATGTTTTTAGAAATGACTATTGCAGAGTATGTTTGATCACAGACTTTATTTAAAAATTTTCTAACTTAAGGTTCACTTTTGATCTACCTAGTGGCGGTTCTTGTAATTTAAGTTAGTGGATATTAGAGTTGCTCTAAATGTTTGATAATTAATTACTGATTTTAATTAATCCTTAGTTGTCAGTCAATGTGAAAATTAAGGTCTTTAAGGTTCAAGTTTTAATAGTTGGTTTTTGATCCTAGGTATTTTCCATTAATTTTCCCTCCTTGGTTTAACTTTAATTGTTTGGTTTACTATTCAATGTTGAAGCTTATATGCTAGAAATAGTTTCATTCATGCCTTTCATATTTACGCTCTTTACACTTAAATTTTATTTCACACATATTTTATAAAATAATTTTTGTCACACAAGTTATGATACTTTTAATCATGTGTGTGAATCTAAGTGGATAAATGTGTAAATATGGAATTAACCAAGACTTGTAGGCTTAGAAGTTAACCTTAAAAATCACATGTTCATGAAAGGGATCATGTTTAGTTATGCGCCAAACCTATAAACATGTATAAGTCCTGTATAAGTTAGCCATGTAGGAGGATTTGCAAAGTTATATATTTTTGGTAGGAGAATAAATATGATTGGTGTTTAGAAAATGGGTGTGTTTAGAATTGTTTTTATTTTTATTTTTTAAAATTTACTTAGGTTTCTTAAAAAGTTTTACTTTGGTTGCTTAGGCTTTGAAAATGATTTGATTGAGTTCCATTTTAAGAGATTTATGTTTTATTTAAGTTTTATTTAAATAAAGTTTAATTTTGTTAAAGGTTTTACTTTTTTTTTTAAATTTTCTTTTTATTTACTTTTAAGAAGTATTCCATTTAGGTCTTACATCCAAAATGTTTGAATTTGAATTTTACTTAGAAAAAGTTAGATTTGAAAATTGAAAAGGTTTAAGTTTTGTTTAAAAGGGATTTATTTGAGTTTTTTTCTTAGTTTTATTTTTTATAAAAGATTTTACTTTGAGTTTTTTTTGAAAAAGAATTTATTTTTATTTTGTTTTAAAAAATTTATATGTTGAAAAGATGTTATTATATTATTTTGAAAAGATTATAATTTGGAGATATCTTTTAATTTAAAATATTTGTTGTGAAAAGATTTTATCTGAACTTTTTTTTAATTCTTTTATAGTTTTAGAAATGGTTGTTATTAGGTATTATTTTTTTTTTTTGAGAATTTCACTCCAAACTTTAAAATTAAGTTTATGAAAATATTATAAACTAGAGCACAAATAAAATTATTTTATTATGCTCCATTTCAAAGCATATTTAAATAAAATTAAGATAATTTTTCTAGAGTACATTGAGGTTTATATACTTTTTTTTACAAAAATACTTCACTCAGAGCACCTTTAAATTTAAATATATAACAACAAGTCTTTATCCCATTATGTGGCGTCGGATGCATGAATCCATTTTAAAAGAATAATTTAAATCCTAAACCTTAAATTCATGTATCTTTTATAAAAATAATTTATTTAGAGCATATTTTAATATATATACATACATACATACATACATACATACATACATACATACATACATACATACATACATACATACATACATACATACATACATACATACATACATACATACATACATACATACATACATACATACGTACATACATACATTTTTTTTAGTAATTTCTTCAAATATATAAATTAAAGTCACTCAACTATGTGAACTTTGCAAACCACCACATAAACATCTAACTTATGAAAATAGCACAGTCTAAACACATAAGAACAATTATTTTGTCAGCTTGATATCCTAAGCATGTTTTCTACCAAATTCATAAAGTCGCAACTTGCTCACTTGCATGAATATAATCCTAAGCATGATTTGCATGAACTTAAAGCTACCAAATGAGAATTTTGCATGTAAATAATGCTACTACCACATCGAAATTTTGCATGAAAAATAACATAATCACATAAGTATTTTTCTTTTTCTATAAGTAAAGCTAGTTTATTATTATTATTATTATTTTTGGGTAGGAAAGAGAAAGGGAAAATACCAATGGCTTAGGGATAGGTTTCGAGTAAAGTGAAGGAGGTGTGGTTATGTCTGTGGTTTTGGGTACGGTAAAGGATGGGGAATGGTGTGGGACTTAGGTGAAGATTAGGGTTAGGCTAGGAAGGGAGAGTGAAGTGTGTGACTTGGATGAGGTTTCAGGTTAGGGTGAATGAGGGGGGATGTTGAGGATTGGGTGAGGTTCTAAGATAGGGTTAAGAAGGAAAAGTGAGTGTGGATTGTGGTGTTGGACTCTGTTTGGATGAGAGAAGAGGAAGATTGATAGGTTTTGGCTTTGGGCAGGATGAGAAAGCAGGAAGTAGTTCAGTGATTATGAGAGGTCTCGGGTGGGGTAATAAAAGAGGGAAGTGTTTGAGTGAATATGAGAGGTTTTGGGTAAGTTAAATGAGGGAGAATGGTGAATGATTTAGGTAAGGATTAAGGTTAGGCTAGGAAGGGAGAGTGAAGTGTGTGTTGTTGGGGTTCAGGTAGGGTTAAAAAAGAACAGTGAGGGAAGGATTTATGGACTTGGGATTTTGGTTAGGCTAGGAAGGAACATTGAGTTAGAAATTTATGGTTTTGGGTTTTGGGTTTGGCTTAAAAAGGGGAAGAGTGGGGTAATTTGCATGGGGAATTTTGCGTAGGCTTGGAAGGGAAAGTTAATGTGGAGTGTGGGGACTTTCAATTTTGGGTAGAGAACAGAGTGTGGAGTGTGGAGAATTTGGTTTGGTGTAATGACAAAGGGAATGCCATGAAGTTGCAGCTTGAAGAGACAAGAGGCAGATAAAAGTGAGAAAAGAGAGGGAGGCTGGAGCATGAGAGAAAAATGAGGGGAAAAGGGGAGAGAGAGACAGGCTCGACCATCAGAAGAAAAGGGAAGGAAGGTAAAAACTCAACACGATTATACATCCACACTATACAAAACTAATTGAAATGAAACAAGACGAAGAAGACTCTTTGGTTGCCTTGATTGGATGAGAGGAGATCTCTTTGGCTTCCTTGGTGTAGAGTGGGGTTTTAGTTAGAAGAGGACTGTGGTGAAGAGTGGAGCTTCCGCCTTGAGAGAAATAAGAGGGAGGAATGGGAAGTTTCAGTAAAAAAGAGAAGAAGATAAGGTTCTGAAAGTCAAACCATAAATTGAACAGGTAGAGGAGGAGCTTCAAGGTTGAACAGGGGTTGAACCAGGTGATGTCATAAAATAAAGAAAATATTAAATATAACTTAAATGAGATAAAAATTAGATGAAAGTTAGTATGGAAAGTCAACAAGAGGGAAACAAAACTAAGAAACTATAAAAGCGTAAACAAAGAAATGGTAATAGACTAATAGTCATGCATATTTTAGAAAAGACAAAGAAGAAAATGATTTTGACCTTGACTCATTCGATAGAGAAAAAAGCAATGAATTTAGTAGTGCAAATTGTTTTGGTTGGAGTAAGCCCCAACTCAACATATTTCAAGTCAAAGTGTGCGACCAACTATTAAGAGAAAATTTGGTTGATTTTGAATGAAATTTTTTAGTTGGTTTTAATTGATTAAATTAAGTTTTAACTCATGTGCACTTTAGTTGAAATTTGGTTTTGCTTTAAGTCAATTACTAAGATTTTTCTATCTATTATGAAAATTATCATCTAATATTTACATTCCCTAAAACCCTCATGCATTAACATTGGCATTCCCAAAAAGCTTGAGACCATCTACAATGGTGTAGTAGAAATTTTTTAAAGTAAGAACTAAGATCGAATTTTTAAAAAATACTCCAATTTTTTTTAATTCAAGCTTAAGAAGATCTATATTTGTAATTTTAATAAATTATTGTTAAGAATTTATTAATACATTATGATAAAATATATAGTGATAAAAATATAAATTATGCTTTTAAAGTAAATTAAAATAAATATTTGCTAAAAAAAGAAAAATTATATATATAAAAAAAATAAAGTTAATAAAAAATTAATCTATAATTTAACAATATAATGAGAAATTTTTTTAAGTAGATATAAATAATAAAACAACTAGTTTAAGAAGACATTTTAAAATAAACATTATAACATGTAATTGCTATCAAATTAAAAAAAATTAGAATATATGTTCTTTAATGAGCTAATTATACAAGGGATCGACACTGCCTTCCACCTCAGCGCCCTTTTCTGCCAAAACACATAAAATAAAAATGAAAAAGAATGAGAAGCTTTGCATAACCAACCCCCTAAACTTCAAATTTTACATACTTACCCCCTTCTCCATGCATAAAAAGGTTCATCTCAGCCTTCCACTTTTTCAAAATTAAAGTGGTGGCATTTTTTAGGTGATGTGAAAGATTTAGGTAATAAAAATATAAACTTTAAAGTTTATGTTAAAGATATGTATGTAAATGCCCCAAAAAACCAAAAAACTAAACTTACTGCAATGTAAAAATTTGTCATTAGTATAATTTCACTTGTAAAGTTCTCCCCATTCATCAAACATGATGCATTTCTTTTCCTAACTCCTATCTAACTATTCATAAAATATGATAAACTTATCATCAATAAGTTGATGCATGCATGCACATATTCATAGATAAGTACCCAGAGGTAATCTGTCTGAAAACTGATAAAATCCATTCCGAGCATTGGGAATTGTTGGCAGATCATTTGGCACAATAAACTCTCCATCAACTCTTCTCTGCTGCTCCAAATATGGATGAAGTGGAGAAAAACCTGGCATCTTCATCTGCTTCATTGGACCTAAACCACCAATGCCAAGGTTAACCATGCCCTCTTGGCCAAAACCTATAGCATAGGCCCCATATTCAGCCGTCACACGCAATTGCGGAGCTCCGCAAGGCAATGCAAAGGGATCGTCGCTTTGAAGCCTCCTGAAGCTTTCTTGAACTTCCTCGGCTCTTCCGTGGAAGCTATTATGGGGCTGTTGCATCCCAATTGTGGCGGTGTTCGACGAACCGGAGTTTTGATTGTTACTAGTTTTGGCGGCGGGTACGTCGTGGTCGTGCTTTCCTTCATATGTGGTGATGACAGACTTAAGATCATGCGATGCTCTTTCCACATGCTTGCGCACCGTGCAACCTGGGTTCGTACACTTGTAGTAGCTCCTGCATTGCAAAACAAGATTGATGTAATGTAAGGATTTAATTGATAGATATGTAAATGTATAACATTTCAATGATACATGTGTAAACTCCATTTGAAATTGAAATATGCAAGTTTGGTTGAACAATTAAAATACCTTGGATTTGGATTTCCTTTCACGACTTTTTGCCCGTACTTACGCCATCGGTAACCGTCGTCGAGAATATCGACCTCGCTAGTTGTCTGAACCACAACACGAGGCTCTCGCATGGCCCTCGAAGCTGCACTCATGTCAATAGAGCACAGATCTAGTTTGCTGGATGCAAAATAAATCCAAAAATCAGTAAGTTTTGGTTTGAATGACCTATGAATATCACATTTACTTCATATTTTTTTGTCTTAAAACAAATTACCTTCTTTTTGGATCCCTCTCCTCCCCTTCAGCATCACATCTAACTGAAAGACAACCATTTGTTGCTCCATCGTCCTCTTCGTCATTAGACATTGCTGATGACAAATGCATGACCTCTGAGCCGCTGTATCGACTGCCACTCTGTGTCTGCATGGAGTTAGAAGTTGCAAACTCAGCAACAGAAGCTACTGAAGAAGCAGCTTCCATGGCATCCCTTCTCCATCCTGATCCCACATTTCCATTTTCAGAGTTCAGCAATGAGAGATTTCCATCAAATTCAGAATTAAGGCTCTGATAATCTGAACCCTCCACTTGTGTGTCACTGAAGGAATGAGAAGATGTAGCGCATGGCCTGCGGTTTGATGGAGGCTTGGGGTGGTTGTGAGCACCCCTGTAGATTATTTCAGTAACATGACCCTCAAGCGATCTTTCAACCTTCTTCTTCACTGGGCAATTTAAGAAAGTGCACTTATAATAACTGCGAGGGAACTCGCTACCCTTAACGTGTTTCTGCCCGTACTTCCTCCAGTTGTATCCATCCTCTTCTGGAGCAATGACAGGCATGGATGAGGACTCTCCTTTTGGATCTGTTCCTCCATAATGATTTTCATCACTTGGAGAGCATTCATTTCCCAGAAAGGAATCAGCTTTCGTTTCTTCGGCATTCTCTTTTGTTTCAGATTGTCTTTGATTGATGGATGAAACAAACTGAAAAAAACGCAAGGAAAAATAGTTAGTGCATATATCATTTTTATTAACATGGAAATAAACAAAAGGAATTTAGGGCCTTGTTTATCCTTATTATTAATGTTTTCTACAACACTGAAACATACATGAAAAGAGTAAACTGCAGGCAATAATGTTCATTTGTAGTTCCTGCCATTGATTTAAACCGGCATACTCAAATCATCCTAAAAGTGTTGCTAAAACACAAATAAGGTCTGAGCATACACATCTCAAGAAATATTTATAAATTTGATCAGTTGTCTATAAAAGAAACCTCGTAAAAATCACACTGCAATATAATGCAAATTCAAAGTGAAACTTGAGAACTAAAAAAACCAAAAAAGGGAGGCTATGGAGAAAGTAAAATGAATTACTTTGTTTTTGGCATTTGATAGGAAAGGGAAATCTGAACACAGTCGAGGGAAGGTAAATGCATCGTCACAAAATTCTTCGATCTTTTGAACATTATTTTTGTAAGTTTCTTCTGAGATCAATGTTGAAAATGAAGTATTGTCCTTGGTATGTGCAAAAGGAAGTTTCCCAGTGGTCGGCGACGGTTCGGCCTGCAAGTTCAAGCACACCAATTATGTGCAATACTGCTGCTTGCTCAACCAAATCAGATAGAAACAACACAAATAACACAGATAATTATAAGGTCCAAAGCATATTAAAAGTATAGATTGGGGTAGAAATACCATTCCCGTAATAAACTACAATAGGATAAAAATGTTCTACCGAAATGCTTTCATGATTTTGAAACTGAAATTTATAAAATTACATTTTTTTTTCTTAAGTGATGACTTTAAAAAAAAAAAAAAAAACATCATAAAGTATGATGAATCTTCTGCATCAATTCATAATACTCAAAATTCACTCCAATCATGCACCCAAATTCTTGGCGATTTCAATAAAATCGTAGTCATTAAGAACACTCTTACCATGGAATTTGAAAGCAAAACTGGAGATTCCAAAAATGCCGTAGGACTGAGACCTGGAGAAAGCACCAAACATGAAGAAATCTTGTCTGAAGGTGAAGAGATCACGTTCTCTGTTCCATTTCTGCTAGTATTGACTGTTAATGTACTAAAACCAGCCCTAGCTGCAATCCTTTCACTTAAAGCCCCTCTTGAGCTTGATTTGGTAATCTTAAACTGGACTGTTCCGGAGAAGATATCACTGTAGGGTTCTGAGGCAGAACTTTTCACTTCTTCCTTGTAATCCAATGCTGTTTTCTCATTCTCAGACACCGTAGAGCCTAAATGTCCCCCATCTCCAAGATCATGAAATGGTATAAATGTTATCGGGCTGGGATTAAAAGTTCCCCATTCTTCAAAAATGGAGAACTTGTCATCTATCCCAGCCATCGCTGTTCCCAATCGGCGACAAATCTCAAATCATCCGTTCTAATCAAGGAAAAAAACGAAGAAATCAGAAGCAAACCCTAAACTCACACATGAAATCCTCCTATCCAGCTCACCCAATAACAGAACATATGAATCAAATCAAAAACAGATTATCATTCTTTTTTAGTAGCAATCTTTTTGAAAGTTCTCAAGAAAGAGAGATAAAACAGTCAAAAAACACAGTTACCTACAAACTGGGCAGCACGGAAAGCCAGAAAACACATCAGAAAGAGTTCTTGGACATCAAATAAAGAAAATAATGAGCGCAAAACCGCCATGGCTGCCCTTTGCTGAGCTCTCGGACTTCTATAACCTTGATTTAAAACGTGTAAAAAAGAGTTGAAACAAGATTTCAGACACAGATCAGAGTGAGACCGCAGCTGTCGGAAAAAATACTCGGCAATAGTTCCTTCTGTCTGCTTCGAATTATATGCCGAAAAATGTGAGGGATTCTGTTGTTGCGAGGCAAAGGAAACCATTAATGAGGGCTTATCTTCATTTCACTGATGGGCAATCTTATAAGAAACCCCATCACAAATTAGTTTTTGAGGCTTTTCACCTCTTCCTGGGCAAATTGGAGACAGAGGTGTAAATGAGTCGAACATGAGCGAGTTTGGAGCATTCGTGTTCGGCTTGTTTGAAAAATGTGCTCATAATCGAAACTGCTCATTAATAAATCTTTTCGTGTTCGATTTGATATAAAATCAAATTAGCTCGTATTCGACTCGAATTTAAGTTCTTCAAACTTACACTTCAAAAATTTTTTATTAGCAAATATTTCTTATGAAATCTAAAATAATAAATTTTTTATTTTTAACCATTTCTTTAAATATGAGAAATTTAATATTGAATAAATCAACATATTTTAGCTTTATTTGGATCAAAGTATGAAATTTTCTTATTTTGTGCTTTCACGATGTGGGATTAAGTTAGTGAGTTTCAGAGCCGCGAGGACCATGGAGGCTGGAGTTCCGAGCGAGAGTGGAGAGGGACGTCCGAACTAGAAAAGAATATTTGACATTTTCGTATACATAATTGCATATCACTTTTCATATGAATATTTACTTATTAAACGTAAGTTTTTTTTTGTTTTCTTCGGTGGGGAGAAACATTTGAGTATGTAAGACGTACCCTGAGCTGAGTACTTCAGAGAGGTTATTCATAGGATATTAAGGGGTTATATCCACGTTATATCCCCTATAATCTCTTTGTAACCTATATGTATCATCTAGTAAGTTCCGCGCTTTTGTTTTCATATTTTTGTAGGCTACAGGTAGGTTACATGGGATATAAAGCGGATATAACCTCTCAATGTCCTCTGAATAACCTCTCTGACGTATCCAGCGCTGCGTACGTCTTACGTACCCAAATTTTTCTCTTCGGTGGGGGAGTGCTTAGCCAAAATTTTTTTTTATGAAAATTTCTTACACTTCAGTAACTAATTTTTATAGGTATATATAATTCGGTATGAGAATTTTATTTTTAATTCTAAATCACAACAGTTAGGAAGAAATGTGAGTGGGAAGTTTAATTGCAATCATTTTATTCCGGACAGAATTGTTGGGACTATTAAGCAGGACATGATTATCTTTCTGAGCAAGTCGTGTGCTTTGATTTTATAAACAATATGCTAATCATCCAATCACTGATCATGCTTCTTGTAATCCAAGCACAAAAATATCCCAAAATTCTATACCAAATATAACACAAATCTATACATCAAAGGGGCATTTACATGCATACCCACCCAATTCTTATGTATTTACATATCTGGCATAAATACTTTACTTTTTTGATTCACATTGTACATGAGAAACACATGAGGACTAATCTCGAGGAGATTCAATAGACTACGAGATAAAGAAGTAGGGCTAGGAGGGTCCACCGGTGGAAGACGAAATGACCCACCAGCAGAAGACTAAAGGCGATGGCTGAACACCAAATGACCCACCGGCAGAAGATCATGGGACCTATTTGACTGGGTGCAGCCCACCTAAATCAAAGCTAGAGACTAAGCGAATGGAAGCTATTTGGATCAAAGGCCGAAGCCAATTCAAACGAGCAGATGCATCGACCTATCGCTTGACATGACCCAATTCAAGGGAATAATTTAACATCGTTAACAACCTCAGGGACACCCTCAGAGATTCTTCAGGGAGGGCTAAGGATCCGTAATGAAGAGATCCAAGAACATCTTGAAGGACCCTATCGTCGAGGTATAAGCTACCTATCGGATTATGGTGGTTCTTCTTTTGCTCGATAGCCTAACATCAACCTGTCGACTGTAGCTATTTATTCAGAGATCAAAAGTGAACAGATGGAGTGGAATTGTTAGTCGGGGAAACCAAGCTGACTGAGCCAAATCCTTCTGGTCCGAAGTCAATCAAAAGTCGACTGACAATATTGGTTCAACATAACCAACCGAACAATCATTGTTGAACTGAAGCCTACCAAACTCAACTGACCAAGCAAGAAGATAGCTGAACTATAGGCTTATACTTGTAAAATATCCAAAATGCTTTATAATGCCCCCATTAAAGCAATGGGCATGCATGTAATTGCACATATTGTAACTCTCATCTATAAATAGGGGGATAATTTTATGAGAAAAGAGCTAATCAACATTTCATATTACTGCTTATTAATGTTTTCTCTCTCTCTTTCCTCTTCTCTCTTAAGTTATTCCTTAGATAAGATTGAGAGACACAGGATTAAAAATCTTAAAAGGTGTGATGAGCATGAATCATGCTAACAAAATGAAGAGAGGTAGCAAAAAGAGAAGAAACTCACAACAGAGATACTGACAACATCGAGTGCACCAAAGAGTACGTGCAACAACAAATCTAGGAGTTGAAGAACGAGATTATAAACACCATCAAAGAGTTACTGGCTTGGGAAAGTGAACAAAACTCACAACAGGAAGCATCAGTGCCCAAGACCCGAAAAATACACATGCTTGAAGAAAAGGGTCAGAGCTTTTCAGTACCTCGATAGTGTTAGTTTAGCACCAATGACAAATATCATTTCGGGCAAACTAAAGCATTCTAACATGTTCGAATGCCTTCTCTCAACATATCTAGACGTAGAGCTTGCAAAAATGTTCAAGATACTGGCTCTAGCACCCTACAAGTTTATTACTAGTCCTACTGACCACATTATCTCTTTGAAATCAACTAGGTGCCTATCTGTAGATTGCCGACATGCTGAAATACCACCACTTCTTCACCACATTGAGGGAGTTGGTCCACAAGTGATTCAATGGATTACAGAGAAGAGTAATGATCTGCCTCAGCTGTTATCATAATAATGTGAATCCTAGTAATGGTACCAGAAAATGTGACTTGCTCCATATCAACTTGATTGTATTATTAAAATTAGATTATCCTATATACTAAGGTTTCTCAGGCAAGTATACGTATTGTTTCACTAATATAGGGCTCTAAAGAGTGTTGAATGTCAAACCCACATGGAAACGTTGGAATCTAAACTAGGAAAATATTTTAGTCTACCTAATTCGTTCTTAATTTGGAATATTGAAATACTTAAGTTTGACTAACAAACCTACTACAACTATATAAAGTAACCTCTATAAAATTTATAACTAAATTAAGTGAATTGGTTTTGCCGAGTGCTAAAGTTATTTTTCTTTGCAGTGATAATAGTTTTATGTAGATGTGGAAAAAATGTGAAATAAGTGAAAGTATTGTGATAAATAGAAGCATAAATCCTCTATACCTCTTTCGAGCGTACAAAAAGGCTTGGTTAAAATGACCTTAATCCTCTATACCTCTTTGATTCATACCCAATAGTTCAACGTGACTTTCCTTATTATTCATGTCGTAGCTCTTTCGAATCCCTACGAGTTCACAATAAATTTTAACAAATCAATTTTTCAGATTGAAAAGAAAATGAAATACAGAAGGAAATCATCACAATTTTTAAATAACAATTATTTCATGCATGTTATCTACATTCCTACACATTTACTACATCACTGCAAGGAAAATCAAGAAAATTTACTCAGAAAACATGGATAAAACACAACTGAATGCATTGATACAAGGAGATTCAATACACAAAAGTGTTTCAGAAAATCACAAACCAAAACACAAATATATTAATCTCTCTATTTCAATTTCTCTTGAGAGTGCTCTACTCAATCTCTTACTTGTCTCGTGCAAATTCTTCACCCAAGCACTCACAAACACAGTGAATGACTCCTCTAGACTTGCTTTCACAAGCCTAGAACAAACCTATAAACTCTCACAAAAATGGAGGAAAATCTCTTCCAAGACTCCCTCCCTAACCTTAATGATGCTCTAGAGTTTTTCCTTCAGCCTGTCTTTGCAACCTACTTCTCCAAGTCCTCTTGATAACTCCTTAAGAATGCCTTGGTTCTCCTCAGAACTTCCACCAACAGATTGCTCAAATTGCACAAAATCATGCAAAATTTGGTACTGACGCCTAGCTGCCGCACTATTCTATCGCTATGACCTTAGCCTTTAGGAATAGGGCTATGGCGCCTAGTGCTTGGCGCTTAAGCGCCACACTAATCTGACACCATGGACCTTGCCTTAATAGCTAGGGCCTTGTCACCCCATGGTTGGTGCTCTTGCATCATTCTCTTGTTTTTCTAAGCTTGACTAATGCCTAGGTGCTCAATGTGTGGCATCATGGCCTCAACCTTCACAAACTATTTTTTTTCAAATTTTCTCCTTTTTGCTCCATGTTTCTTCCACTTTGTTTCACTTCTAATACTAGTTATATATGCAAAAAAATATACAATTACTTTTCTTTAAAATACATTTTCATTCAAAAATATGTGCAAAATATAAAGAAATTCATGGAAGCATTTCTCACATCAAAATCCCCCAAACTTAAACATTACTTGTCCTCAAGTAACACTACAATTTTAAAAACTAGATTTGTTTATTTGAGGTAAAGGGTTTCGTTAAAGTTTCCTACAATTTTACACCAGAAATGTCATAGTTCAACTTAGGAGAAATTCTAGTGAATCGACCTAGTACTAGGGTGTAAGAACATCTTGTATTCAACTTAGAAATCCTGATTTTCTATTTACTTTGAAAATTTTTAAAATTTGCCAAGCTTAGGATCCCTAAAAAGTATATAAATATAAGTGGGGAAGAATTCACATTCATACTACCTACAACATGTTTATATCGCAGAAAGAGTAATTAAAAAATAATATATATGTATACAATAACAAGTATGAATATATAATAGGGGTGAATAAAAAATAAAATAAAGAAAGTATAACATCCAAGCAGGTAAAATAAAAATAAGCTCACAACAAAAAAATATCAACTGAAATAAAAGAGTTCCAGAGGATACTAGCAAATATCCACAACAAGTAAAAATTAAGTACAGTACAACTAAAATATAAAGAAAAATAAATAAAATCTCTATTCCTCCTCATCGTCATCATCATCTTATTATTTCTCTAATTCCTCCTTTTCTGCAACCTTCTCTATCGACAGACGTGGTTCGTATAGCTAGTAGGGAGA